CCAGGAGGCCCCACGAGGTCCCCAAGAGGCCCCCAAAATACCCCAAGATGCCCCCAAGCGGCCCAAAAGAGGCCTCAAGAGTCCTCCAAACGGCCCCCAAGACGCCTCCAAACTGCTTCCAAGAGGACCCCCAGAGGCATCCCACGAGATCCCAACGGACATCCAACAGGTTTCCTACTTACAACCCTGGCACGGTGGCCAGATGGGCTGAGGGGAATTAGACAACGCTGGGTCCTCCTCCCCCTCCTCTTCCACCTCCTCCTCCTCCTCCTCCACCTCCTCCTCTTCCCTCCATTCCCTTCCTCCTCCCTCTATCCTCATCCTCCTCCTCCTCCTCCTCCTCCTCCTCCTCCTCCTCCTCCTCCTCGTCCTCGTCCTCATCCTCCTCCTCCTCCTTTTCCTTCTCTTCCTCCATCCTCTCACTCCTTCCTCCGCCTCTGCTCGCCCACGCGCCCCCTCCTGGTCGTGGCCGGCCAGGTCGCTGATGGCACTAGCTCCGCCCTTGTTGAGATACTTGGCGCCGCTCTTGGCGACAGTGCCTACGGACAGGGGGGGAAACTGGGAGGATGGGTAACAGAGGAGAGGGGGGGGGACAGCGGAGGGGACAAGCCCACATCTAGCATCCAATCCCTCCCTCCCATTCCTTCCCACTGGGCGGATTTTTTCTCCATCCGCAAGCGCGTGCCATAGCCGACTTGGAACGCCGAAAAAAATGGTGTTCTGCGCATTCGGAAAAAAAGAGGGAAGATGCGTACATATAATGAGGTGACGCGTGAACAGGAGGGTGAGCAGGAGGAAAATGAGGAGCATGGAGCAGAAGAAAGGAGGAGGACGAAGACGAACAGCAGCAACAGCAGAAACGAGAGTGGGAGGAGCGGGACGAACAGGAGGACCAGACGGAAAGGCGGAGGACAGGAAATGAGGGTGGCGACAGAGAAGAAAAATTACGGGGAGCCAGAAAGGTGGTTCGCGCTGGGGCGAGATCGCCATTCTGAACAACGGGAACAAAACGCCGATCCGAAATGAGGCACACGATGCAGCGGGAGCACCGTTCTGAAACACCGAAAAGACACTTGGAATGTAACGAACCCTAGGAAATAACACGCGCTGACAACCTGCGTGTAAGAATAAAACGCCGAGAGGGCCGAGCATATTCCAGGCAGAGTCAGGGGAGAGAGGAGGATAGCATGAACACGTCATGAATATTCGCGATGACGCCCAGGACTGGCCGCGCCCGCCCCCCCCCTCTGGTCTCGCCACGATTCGCGCCCGAATCGTCTGGAAATTTGCCATTCCTAAGCACTCCCTGACGGCGCCGGCGCGAATCGCGACGTGACTGGCCCTCTCCCCCCTCCTCGCCCCCCCCACCAGTCACGCCCGTGATCGCCAGGGTGGAAGAAAACAGCTCTGCTCAAACTGATGCATCGGAGAGAAAAGGGGGAGAGGCGGAGGAGGAGGGACGAGAGGGACAGGGGGGGGAGGGAGGACGGAGGGTTTCTGTTTCCAACAGGCGCGGCGCACAGCGTGCCAGGGCACAGCTAGGCGACTCGGGCACGGGCCCGACTGAGAGGAAAAGAGCCCGAGCACCTCCCCATCAGGGGAGGTGCCAGCAGGCGCAGCCAGGAGGCCTACGCGCCGGCGCCGGCATCGTTCTCGACGACCAGGTCTCCGACCAGGGAGTCGAGTTCGGCAGGACGGAGGGGGGAGGGAGAGGACCGAGGATCTGGAAGGTCTTCATCCTGCCTGGGCCTCCGAAGACTTCGGGGGGCCTCCGGAGGCCTCTGGGGCTCCTCGGAGGCTTCTTCGGGACCTCTGGAAGGGCCTCTGGAGGCCTCAAAAGAAACAGTGTTTCCAACCTTGGTAATGTCCCACCTGGCAGCACGCTGTGAGAGACCCGCAGAGGAGTGGGAGCACGTTGACAACGACGGCGCCGACGACGATGACGGTGGTGACGGCGGCGGCGGCGGCGAGGACGACGACGACGACGACGACGACGACAACGACGACGACGACGGCGACGACGGCGACGACGGCGACGACGGCGACGTCGACGTCGACGGCGACGACGACGATGACGGCGGCGGCGGCGGCAACGACGACGACGACGGCGACGTCGACGATGACGGCCCTGGCGGCGGCGGCGGCGGCGGCGAGGACGACGACGACGACGGCGGCGACGATGCCGACGTCGACGGCGGCGGCAACGACGACGCCCACTGCGGTGGCGGCTGCGGGCGCGACGCGGCGCAGCGCGGCACCGCCGATCGCGCGGCGCTGCATGCCCTCGCCCCAGCTCTGCCCGGGGGGCGCGACGATGCGGTGGATGGTGCGCGCCTCGGATGCCACGGGGTTCGTGGGCTGCGCGAGTCGGGGGTCATGGGCCGTTCCCGACCTCCTCCTCCTCCTCCTCCTCCTCCTCCTCCTCCTCCTCCTCCTCCTCCTCGACCTCATCGTCATTATCCTTATCCTCCTCCTCCTTCCCCTCATCTCCCTCCTCCTCCTCATCATCATCATCCTCCTCCTCATCATCATCATCATCATCAGCAGCATCATCAGCATCAGCATCAGAAGCATCAGCATCAGCATCAGCATCAGCACCAGCATCAGCACCAGCACCAGCACCACCATCAGCATCAGCATCCTCATCATCACCATCACCACCATCATCATCATCAGCATCATAATCACCATCATCATCATCATCATCATCATCATCATCATCATCATCATCATCATCATCATCATCATCATCATCATCGTCATCATCATCATCATCATCATCGTCATCATCATCGTCATCATCGTCATCATTATCATCAACATCATCAGCATCATCATCAGCATCATCATCATCCGCCTACTGCGCCACCCGAAAGCAGCAACCCGATCAGGACAGAGCGAGGCACGAGAGAAAGATAAGATGGCGGGCTAGCGGGCGGTACTTGCCCCCGAGTGTGTACACCGTGCCGCTGCCACCATCTCCTCCTCTTCCGTTCTCCCAACCCCTTCACGACCTCATCGTCATCCTCCTTTCCCTCGATTGTCGATCGAGGGGATGAGGAACAAGGATCGAAGACCTGGGATCAATTTGGATCAACACCAGATCGACGCTGACGTTCGCGAGGGCCATCAAGTACAGGTCGCGTCCAGACTACTGCTCGTGCCCAACCTACCAGACGGACAGCTTGAGCGCCCATGCCGACGTGAAGCCATCAACATGTGGGAGGAAGTTTGACGATGTGATGATGTAGTAGGTCCCCAAAAACAAATACGCGAGCATCATATGAGCCGAATAACGTAACGGCACAACTGCGATCACATGCGAAGTCTCGACGTTCTGAACGCACCACGCTGCGCCTATGCAACTATGAACGTAGCGCATCTGATCTGGATGAATCCTTAGGATTTCAAGTCAATCCTCATGAATCGAGGATCCCCCGGATCCGAATGAATCCTGAAGATGTTTGAAGATCTCTCATGCATTTTCATGACACTGGCCTGAGGAATCCAGCCCTGAAGAACCCAGATAATCCCTGAGACACCCAAAGAAACCCTGATGGCTCATGACGATGCCTGATGAACCCCAAGGATGTCTTGGGTTCCTCGGGAGTCTCGAACATTCCAAAAGGGAGCCCTGGATAAATTTGATCAAACTCACCCTGAGGCCTCTGAAGAGAGGCCAATGGAGATTCTCTGAGAGGCCTCGGAAAACGTTGTGGGAGGCCTCTGAACACCCACTCAGGAGGTCTCTGAAAACCCTTTGAGGAGCCTCCGGCATGGCATGCATCTACTTCAGTCTTCAAGCTCCTCTGAAGACTCTGGAAACTGCTCTCGAGAGTTCTCCAGCGACGTCTTCGTACTCCTCGCATAACCACTAAATCAATCAGGCTGCGCTCTATCATATTCGAATAACACCAACCAGTGCCTATCATGTCGGGGCCAAATCGGCATAATTACAATCAATGATATGATTCTCTGCTCCTCCGCTGCTCCACCCCTGTCGTCTTCTCCCCATCCGTTTCCCCGCTCCTCCTCCTCCAGAGTCGACTCCGTCCATGTCCTGCCCCATCTCCTCCCCCTCCTCCTGTTCCCCCCCCACACCTTACCCCGCCGTCCCCTTCGTCCTGCTCGTCATCGTCAGCACGACAACCATCCTCACCCGCTTCCCTCGTCCTCGCCCTCCTCCTCCACGTCCCCAGCCAATCTTCCTCCACGGCCTCTCCCTCTCCTCGCCCTCCGCCGCTGCTGCGGCGTGCAGCGCCGTGCTCCCACGTCCCTCGCTCCGACGGAGCTCGAGACGAGCCCAAGAATCACACGCGGGGCGCGTGAGCAGGCAGCGCCACCAACCTCGCGGCGCCACTGGGGAACCATGGCAGGCCACAGCCTCTCCCGAGCCCTCCCCCCCGCCCTCCCGTGGGACAACAAAGGCAGTGGCCACGAAGGGGGCCGAGCCAGTTCCCCGGGGGAGGGGAAGAGCAGGTCGCGAGACCCCCAGAGCTCGAACACGACCCGAGACGTACCCAACCTCCTCTTCTTCCTTTTCGTCTTCTCGCCAAGCGTCTATGTATAAGCACGCTCCGTACACCATACCACGTTGCGTGATATGCAAAACTCCGAACGGCCACGCGCGACGCGCAGGTAGGAATGGGCCACTGAGGACAACGCCGTGCGCTACGCGACGTTCCAGCGCTCCGCGCACTGCGATGCAGCAGCGTCGCGCGGCAGAATGACGGACGGCGCCACGTGCCACGTGGGCACGCGCCGCGTGGGCGCCCTGCACGCCGCCGTGCCTCCCAGGAGGCCACGACGGTGGCAGCGGTTGGGCAGGTCGCTGCGCCTCTGGGAGCCGCGAGGTCTCAAATGATCTGCGCTGTCCTCCCCACCGCCGTGCCTCCAAAAAACCCGCGAGAGTGGCGACAGTTGCGCAGACCCCAGAAGACGCGAGGTCTCGAGTGATCTGCGCTGCCATCACCTCCGCCGAGCCTCCCACGAACCCACGAAAGTAGCAGTAGTTGCGCTGTTTGCAGCGCCCCACGGTGCCGCGAGGTCTCGAAGTTATCTGCGCTGCCTTCCACTCCGCTGGACCTCCGAAGAAACCACAAAGGCAGCGGCAATTGCGCAGCTCGCAACCACACAGGGAGCCGCGAGGTCCCGCCTGAATGCGCGTTCACCGCCACTCCGCTGGACCTACCGAACCCACGAAAATGGCGGCGACTGCGCAATTCGCAACCACCCAGGGAGCGCCTCGAGGACTTGTCTGGATGCGAGCGCACCTCCACTCCGCTAGACATACGCCCCAGGAGCCCACGAAAGTGCATTGCACAACTCGCCAACACCCAGGAAACTGCAAGGTCTCGTTAGGATGCCATCCACTGCTGCTTGGTTGCGTCTTCCCTGGGGCCCACGACGGCGTTCCAGCGCCGCGAAATCACGGCGGCGCGCCTGATGGCAGCCAGCGAGCTAGAGGTCCTAGCCTGGTCGTCTATGAACAGCTTGCACTTCACACCATTGGCCTCGGCCGCTACCTGCTGGAATGGCCCCATGAGCACGCAGCACATGGTCACTGGGGACCAGGGATTCCCCTGTGGTAGGGAGCCGTTGACCTGCTGGGGCCGCGAGTGACAGCAGCCGCTGTGCGCCATCCGTCGCTGCTGGCTGCCCCATTTGGCCCCCCCTCATGGTGCGCAGGTTGCCCCGTGGGCCGACCCGGTCCAGCGCGAACGTGGCCACCTGTGGGTGGCACGTGCCGAAAGCGAGGCTGCAGCCCCAGGACGCCAGGCACTCCCCGCTGCCCACGCCAGCGGTGGGCGCCGCCGAAACGTCCGCCGCCCCCTTCCCCTCGACGCCTCCCGGCGCGTCCTCGCCCCACCGCTTCTGCCGCCGCCTCCCAAACGAGGCGCTGCGGCAGCGGGCGCTGGCCCACGCCGTGTGTCGGGGGCGGCAAAGAGGGGGGTGTCTAAGAGGGGGGGGTGCAAATCATGACCGGCGGCATGTGCGCGGCCCAGCGGGGGGGGGTGGGGCAGGGACGTAATGAGACAAGAAGAGGCGCCATGAAATCTGGGGAACTATCATGGCCCCCGCCATGATATCCCCCCCCCCCTAGTCATCACCCCCCTCTGCCCCGCCCCCGACCACGCCATGTGCCAGCTGGAGGGGACGCTGACGGGCCGGAACTTGCCGTCCCTCGGTGCTCCTGGCGTGTCCACTGGCGGCACGTGCTTGGGAAAGCGCGACTGCCTTCAGCGCGGCCCACTGCGCCGGCAGGCGCGCCAGCGCCGCGCAGGTGCTGTAGAAATACACCATGGCATCCAACGCGAGGCCATCGTGAGCGGTTTTTGATTCGGCGTGTCGACATTGGGCGGAAAGAGGGGGGGGGGAGGGGGGGTCTGGCTCCAGACCTCTGCTTGGCGCGACTGCTTGCAGCAGTGTGGCCGACGGGGGAGACTCCACCCGCTCGAAAGAGGCGCCAAAAAACAGCAAGATTTGAGCAGGGACCGACCGTCCCGGCATTCCTGTAGTCCTACCACGAAATGTTCTTAGAACCCAAAACTGTTCTAAGAACAAAAACAGTGTTCTTAGAACATAAGCCCGATGCGTTCAAACAAGACAGTCCCAGCCAGAAATGTTCTAAGAACATCCCGCGGAAACCACCACAGGTTCTCAGAACATTGTTCGGTAGGCCCACAGGCGAGACTGCTTGAAAGATCTGCTTCATGGGGGGGGGGATCGGGGATGGACAGACCTCCCTTTAGTAGAACGGGGTTTAGTGAAAACGACTTCGGGCCCAAACCTGGCGGGCGCAAGCCTGGAAAATAACGGCCGCGGCGCCCTCTCGAGAACCGAAAACGGACAATTCACTAATCGACGTGTCAGGGTAGGATGTCTATCCACCTCCAAGGGGAGGGGGGGGGGGTGCGAGGGTCCGCGCCGACCGGCAAAACGACGAATCAAAACACGACCACATGCCCCCTCCCGACCATCCGTCGGGCCCCGCGGCCGCGCGGGCCCGGGCCCGGATGGCGGCCTCCGGGCGCCGACGGCCGCGGCGCAGCCCGGCAGCCAGGCCGGGAGCTCCCGCTCGCCTCGCCCCATTCGGTGGCGTGGCCGTGTTCCACGCGTCGGTCGGGCATGTCCTCCTACAGGCGGATTTGGGACAAAAAAAATAAAACACACCCCAAAAAACAGAACACGACCCCAAAATTGTCGAACAATCGCCCCCCGACTATTTGAATTCCTCCTGTGGAGGGACACGCCCGAGTGAGTTCCACGCCTTCCGCCGCCTCTGGACGAGCAGGGCCGTGAGGGGCAACGATAGGGGGGTGGGCATAGGGGGGGATGCATCGACCTGGAATCGGCGATACGTCGTCGATAGATCGGCGATAGGCCTCCGATGGTGAATCCGCACCCTCCTGGGCAGGTTGGGGCCATCGGGCCCCTATCGGCGATCCATGGGCGATTGGGGGTCGATGCATCCCCCCATACAGGGCAATTTTTAATACATAGGATTTGTCAAAACATCGGATTTTCAATACATGATTAATTCATAAAGAAATTTATGCACGAGCTCCTCGTTGATCTTAATACTAAAACCCTGCATGATTAGTACATGACCCGCGCGCGGAGCACGTATTAAAAAAAAACGGCACTGTATGCTTATCCCCCCCCCCGATCGTTGCCTCCGAGGCCAGCGCCTCCGTGGTGGCGGTGCTGGCGGCGCCGGTGCCGCTGTCGGTGTCTGCCACGTGCGCTGCGATCCCCTCTGGGAGTCCTCCCTCGGCTGCAGCCGTGCCGGGCCCTGCTGGGCCTGCTCGCACTGGGCCGTCTGGGCTGGCAGGTGGTGGTCTCTCCAGCGGGGAGCGCTGGGAGGCCTGGAAATGGGCACCAACACCAAGACGGAGGGCTGCCTCCACAGGGGGGAGGTGATCCTAGATCTCGGTGTTGGTGGTAATATTGCGGCCACCTTGGAAGCCAGAATATTACCACCATCACCGAGATCGGGATCTTCTTCCCTCGGTGGAGGAACACCGCCGATCTTGGTGTTGGTGTCAACCTCTAGGCCTGCGGGGAGCCGCTGCTCCCGGTGTCGCGATCAAGAGGTCGAGGCGGATCCGCCAGTGTCGACGAGGGGGTGCCGAAGCCTTCGCACGGCCTGAGCAAATGGCCCCGCAGGGTTTGCGCGTCCTTGCCTCGCCTGGCCCCGAAGGCTCCAGCGTGCCCCGAAGGAATATCAAGGATCTGACCCCGCAGAGAATACAAAGCTGGTGGTTGTGCAAATGGAGTGCGATGGATCTGTAGAACAGTTTCAAAACGTAGCTGAAAGCCGTGCCGCCTCGAGCTACAATGGCTACGGTTCCCCCTCCGCCTCCTCATCCAATTCCTCCCCTCCTTCTTCCCCCAAGCCCCTGCCACCTACAAGACCTTCCCCCATCTCCTTCCGACGGACCCCGCTAAAACTAAAACCCCGCTTTATCTCCTGATACTCGCTTGAATCCTCTAGAATTCTCTCATCCTCCTACTCACGAATAAATACACACACAAATAAATACACACACAAATAACAGGATTCCCCATATGTTCACATATTTTCTGGGTTTTTGTCTTCCCCCCCCACTTTCCATACTTTCCCATACTTTCCTGGGAATCGACGGTTCATTGTGTCTGTGTTTCTCTCCCTCCTCCTACTCATCCTCCTCGTATCGCCGCTCTCCAGCTTCCTTCTCTCCTCCCTCCTCCGAGGATCGGGCATCCCAGATGATCAGGTCGCCGGGCTCGGGCACGAACTTCGTCTTCCTCTCGTACCTGCAGGGGTCCGAGAGGGGTAGGGGAGCGGGGGGGAGGAGCAACAGGCGAGGAGAGGATTATTATATACGATGAACATAGATCCCGACAACGGAAAAGGGGGCGAGGGCAGATGATGAGTAAAAAGGGGCGGGAGGGGAACGAACAGGAGGACGAGGCAAGGGGCCACATGCGAACCCTAACCCTACCCCCCACGACTTCTGAGGGGGAGGGTGGGATTCACTCCGTTCGGGAGCTCCCGAGCGAAGTGAACCCCACCCTCCCCCTCAGAAATCGTGGGGGGTAGGGGTAGGGTTCGCATGTGGGCCCCTACGAGGGCCACCGATCTCCTTCCCACCCATCCGCCTCCTCCTGCTCCTGCCCTCCTCTTTCCCGTTCCTCCCCCCTGCTCCCTGCTCCCTGCATTTCTTCCTTGTTCTGGAACCCGCCCTCTCGTCCCACGCGCGGGGGGGAGGAGACGGAAACGAGGGGACGAAAGGAGGAGGAGGAGGAGGAGGAGGAGGAGGAGGAGGAGGAGAGAGGAGAGGAGGAGGAGGAGGAGGAGGAGGAGGAGGAGGAGGAAGAGCAGGAGGAGGAGGAGGAGGACAGCGACGGTGACGACGAGGATGACGAGAAAGCCATCGAGCCTTGTCCGCCAGCGCGACTCCTGCACCGGGGCACGGGCAAGAGGGCAGGAGCCCTGCTCCAAGCTGGAGGCCCCACCTGCTTCACAGGAGGCCCCACAGCAGACCCCCCGGCACCAAGCAACCTTGAGGACGCCAGAAAAACGCTTTGACTGGCCGACCCTCAACAAGGGTTCGGCGGAAGAGGAGGAGGAGGAGGAGGAGGAGGAGGAGGAGGAGGAGGAGGAGCAGGAGGAAAGGGAGGAGGAGGAGGACGCCAGAAAAAAACGCATTGACTGGCCGACCCTCAACAAGGGCTCGTAAAATGCCGGCTCCCTTTGCGGGGCCACCAGGCTGCGAGGAGTGGGCCTGCGGCTCCCTGCCCCAGCTGCGGGTTCCAGGTCCCATTGTGATAGTTTCATGTTCTGTTCCCGGCTGTAAAATGCTTGACGCCCGCGCGAAAAAAAGGGGAGCCCACAACCGCCTGGTTACCACGCCCAAATCGGCCACGGGGGGGGGGGGGCGTGGGACACGTAAAAATACATGAAGGTCGCGCCCCCGAGGCCATCACCCATCGTAAATTACCCCATGCTCGGGCCCCCGAGGCCACGAACACGTGTGCATTATACAGTTGGGGCCCAACCCCTGGAAAAGTATACGATGTTCGCGTCACCGAAGCCAGAAACCCTCGCAGAATAATGCCGTGCTCGCACTGCCGAAGCCAACAGTGCTCCAAGGTGCCCGAAGAGTTTTCGAAGACGGCCCAAGAGGGCCCCAAGCGGCAAGAGCGCTCCAAGAGGCCTCCCGAGAAAGCCCCAAGAGGCCAACATTAACGATGCTACGGCAGTTCTTGAAGGATGTTGGCCTTCTCGCATCTTCGGCTTTCCCACGCTCCAAGACGGTTCAAGAAGCTCCCAAGACTGCCCCATGACAGCCCAAGAGGCCTGCAAAGCGGCCCAAAAACGACTCCAAGAGGACCCGAGAAGCGCTCAAGACAGCCCAAGAGGGCCCCAAGACGGCCCCAAGAGGGGCCCAAGCATGGGACCACGAACCGACTGTTATATATTCGCGCCCCGAGAGGCCCCCAGGAGACCCCAAGATGCCGCCAAAAGGCATCAAGAGGCCCAAAACGAAACCAAGAGGCCTCCAAGAGGCCCAAGAGATGCTCCACGAGGTCCGAGAGGTCCCCAATCGGCACCCACACCGCCTCCAAGAGGCCCCCGAGAGGCACCCCACGACACCCCAACACACATACAAGGGGCCTCAGACCCACAACCCAGGCACGGTGGAGGCATGGGCCGACGGCCACTTGGATAACGCCAGCACCTCAACATGCGTTGATGATTCCGATCCGCCCCCGCATGAAGCCCCAAGATGCGCCAAGGCAGCGCCGAAGCGCACCGACGCGACTCTGAAATATCTTATTATGACAGAGAGGGGGCCGGCGGCAGACGCGAAGCCCATGCGGATAGCAAAACCTGCAATCGGAATTCGCGAAGTCTGACTCTCCTCCTTCGGACACAAGCGGGAACACACCGCGGCAAACTGAACATCATGAGACTGCAGATCGTACACAGACACTCAACCTGAGTGAAAGAGGGCCTTGAATCCCGAGTCGCGCCCTCGGTGGAGCCAGCGGCAAAGCGGAAGGCCGAACCTAGACGGATTCGGGCTTCGGATGCTTCTGCGCAAAGATCTGTTTCCGGGCCCGCCGAGCGATCTCGAGCGCAGGTGCCCGAAGGCACCCCCCTTCGAGGTCGCGAGCCTGGCCGCCGGGCGCGAACACTTGCAAGGCGCGCGCGCGCGCTC